GCGTCGGCCCGGGCGTGGGGGGAGGGGCGGGTTGGCCAGCGTTCTGGAACGTTCGGCGCTGGCCCCCCGAGATCTGGGTGGGAATTTCGAACGGGGCGGCGGGAAGCCGCTGACGTCACCCGGCCGGTCATTGTTTGCGGGGCGCGCGCGGCCACTTTGTTTGACTCGCTGGTCTGCTTCTCTCGGTAGGTCAGCTCGGCCGAAGGGGCGGTGAAGGAGGAGGTAAGTGAGGGGGCCTTGGGGATGGGTTGCGTTCAGGCGGCATTCCTTCTGCACCCTGTTCATTTTTGCTTTTCTCTCTCAAAGCCGAAGAGGAGATCGGCCAGATTGTCAGCGGTAAGTAGCTTGAGTCCGCAGGTCCCGCACGGTAGTTGTTTGTTTTCAGTGGGATGGTACCCAGCGAAGAAACTTAATGGCACTTTTGCTTTTCAGAAACCCTCGCCTGCAAAAGTGGAGACGAAGCCAAAAAAGGCACCAGGAAAGGTAGGTTTTAAAACTTCAGTGGAAATACCTTGGCGCCTTAAATGTAGCTCATTCATTACCATCGAATCGATTGGGAGTCTGCAGCACAGGGTAGGAAGAATTGCGTGGGTAGTTTCCCAGGCTGTAAAAAACTTCAGCTTGCTCCCACTTACATGCAACAGTGATTGCTAATACCTGAGGCTTTTCTTAATAAAAAGCTATTCTCAGCGACGACCGAAGATCATGTGACGTTGTCAGTGTCAACGATTTAGATTTCTTTGTCCCTTAAAAAGCAGAAGTACCTTACCTTTAATAAGTAACAAGAAGCCCTGGTGGCGCTGTAGGGTAAACATTGAACTGCTAATCGCCAAGTTTGCGGTTCAAATCCAGTGTACTTTTGGAGAAAGATGAGGCGTTCTGCTCCCATAAATATTATTGCCTTAGCGGTCATGGGGGAGGGAGAGGGAGATGGAGGGGGAAAGACCTGATACCAAGGGCTCACATATAAAGTAAATGTTAAGAAAATGATGGCAACGTGTACAAATAAGATTAACACAGATTGTTGTAAGAGATGTAAGAGACTCCAATATAATGATCTTTTTTTTAAAAAGCCGTGGAAATCCTGTGTTGATTCGCTCAGAGTCACTATTGCTAGAGCAATAGGTTTTAGTTTAATAAAGTAATAAAGTAACCATTAGTCTGGGGTGATTAAGATGAATAAAGTCTGTTTGGTCTCCATGAATAGACCATCATTTTAATGCTGCTGTAGAATTTTAGGAAACGTGACAAATGAAAATACTAGCTAATGGTTGATAACTGGCTTGCAAAGGAAAATCACTCTTTCCATGATTATAGTGTGTCAGATCATGTCACCATTTGTGTGGACTTCTTTTTTCACTAAGTTATGAGGCCCAAAAAGGGGTGGGGAAGGTGGTTCTGTATAGCTTTTCCCAAGCCTAGGTATGGGCTCCCATTTTGGATGGGACAGTACATAACTATTGTAACATATTTAATTTTCGAATATGGGTAAAGGTGTTGCCGTAATCATTTTGCTCTTAACCGCCTTTGAATTACTGGGTTAACTTGAAGGGTGGTTGTTCAAGAATAGACCTATGACTGTACTGTTCAGATTGCAGGTCTTTAGAAAATTGTTCTCATACTTCTATACACACAAAATGGAGCTTCCAAGAAGTTTTTTTTAAATGGAAGGAAAAGATAATGGAAGATTTCCGTTAACGTTTTGAACCTTCCTCCTGTATGTTAATAAGCTTTAAAGTTAGCAATTTATGCATTAAACATTTTGAGACTATTGGGGTGTATAGCTTTGGAGCCATTTTCTGCAAAGCTTTACAGGGTACTGATTAATTGTTCACTCAAAAAAGAGGTGGCTATTTGAAGTCTCATTAAAAATAATTATTTTCTTGTTGCTATCACTTCTTTCCTAGAAATTAGTTGGAACTTTAAGTTGTTTGTAAGCGTTTTTTTTGATGCTGAGGAACTATTAAATTTATACTTTTGTTAAATGCTGATCTAAAACAAATTTTTTTGTTTTGTTAAATTGTCAGGAAACCAGCTGTGAAACAAAAAAAATTGAAGCCAAGTTCTGTTTCTGAGAGCTCATTAAGAGCAAAAAGAAGTATGTCGTTTTCTTAGGCCGCCATTACTGCAATTATTCTCTGCATTCACAATGTGTCCCTGAAACTTCATAAAGTCTTACAGAATGTTGGTGCGAACAATGTATAAACCATCTCCTTTGAGTCTTTGCTTTTTTCTCAATCTGCTCAGACACATTTTTTAGTGAAAATAAGTTCTACCCTCAGTGGGTAGATAAGTCATTATATTTTTCTCTTCTCAGTGAGTGGCCAGCAGGTAAGGCCTCATTCATGAAGTTAATTTTTGTAATAAGTTTTTGTGTTCACAATTGCCCTGGCTTTGTTTAAAGCCATTAACAGAAGGAAGCACTTGGTAGATTGATTACCATAGTACACAGATGTTTTCCAAAGCATATGCATCTGTGTTCTGACTTGCACAATCTTCCTTCTCACTGCCATTGATTCAGTGCTGATTCATAGTGACCCTAGGGAACAGGCTAGAACTCTCTGAGGTTGTGAGACTGCAAATATTTGTGGGACTCAAAAGCCCAGTCTTGCCCACCAAGTGCCTGGTAGTTTCGAACTGCTGAGCTTTTGGATCGCAGCCTAACACTACGCCATCAGGACTCTGAAAACTGAAACATGCATTAGGAAAACTTGTTGCTATATCTTGTTCCATCTAGTTTTCCAGCTCTTAATGATAAAACTGGTATTATTTCAAGTCCAGCCTACTCAGGATCTTGTAAGTTCTTTAGATAACAAAGTACTGATTATAGTAATTAAATTTTAGAAAATAAACTAACCTTTCACAGATTAGCCATCTTACTGCTTTTTAAGTGTAGTCTTCCCCAAATAAATAAAAAGGAAAAAAATGTAGTCTTAAAGTATTAATCCCACTAATTTCTAGTAAACATTTTCATTATCTATATGGCAGGGTGGCCTCAAATATGTTTAAGTAATTTATATATCCTAAAACTCAGAAAACCAAACTCAACGGCCACTGAGTTGATTCTGGCTCCTAGTGACCCTATGGGCAGAACTGTCCCTATGGATTTCTCAGGTTTTAAATCTTTATTGGAGCAGAAAGCTATCCCCAACCGCCACCTCCAACTCAGCAATTCTGTATAAGTTCTAAGGCTAAATCTTTACGAGTAGACAGCCTTGTCTTTCCCTCAGCTCCTGGTGGGTTTAAACCACTGACCTTGTGGCTTGCAGCCCAAGTACACTCCACTACCTGAACTTCGTGTACTGATAGGGTCCTTTTGTACTACCTACCTATGACTTAACTGTTTAAGCTGTTGCTGCATATTTTATTTATAAGAGAAATTTTTGTTGTCAATCTTAGTGGATAATGCCCACAGTTTTTTTTCTCTTGCTTTAAAATCGCTTTAAGTGCGAATCTTTAACATTGCTGGTTATCTCTCACCCTACCAGAACATGTAAATGAAAATGATAAAACTCAAAAGTGGTTCTTTCAGCTACTCATTAAGAACTCTAGTAGCATAATGGTTGGTTATGAGTTGGGTTGCTAACCACAAGGTCATCAATTCGAAACCACTAGCTCTTCTGAGGGAGAAAGATAAGGCTTCCTGCTATAAAAATGTAGTCTCAGAAACCCATGAGGAGGGGCAGTTTTACCTTGTCCTTTAGTGTCTGAGTCAGAATTGACTCGCTGGCAGTGGTGAAATAAAGCTTGAACTTCGGGTTTAATCTGCATCAGAAGCTCTTTACCAAAACTAACTATGTAAATACTAATACATTTTTCCTTAACACTCATTGTTTTCCTGAATTTCTGTGTCGAATCTTAATATTATCTTTATGAAAACTATATCCAGTGATCCAGGTTTTGCACATATTATAGCACTAACAACTAAGGTTGACTGAATGGCAACTATATAACAAGTCAGAATGTGGTGGTGTAAGATTTCTTCTTAAAATGTACTCTATTGTAGGATAAATCTTCGGACAAAAAAGTGCAAGCAAAAGGGAAAAGAGGAGCAAAAGGGAAACAGGCGGAAGTAGCCAACCAAGAAGCTAAAGAAGATTTACCTGCTGAAAATGGAGAAACGAAAAACGAGGAGGTCAGAAGTGTTTTGTTGGTTTTTCACTCTGAACAGTAGATAATAAATTGCGTATTTCTACAGAGGGGGGTAATTGCTTACTATTTATAATGAATGCAGATTATACTTTATGAATAACGTTGTATTAGAAAGTATGTATGAGAATTGACTTCCAAGAAACGGATTTTAATTTAGTTAGCATTTCACTAGTAACTGATATACTATCCGTGTCTATAGTTCTTTGAGTGCATTTTTTAAAAGATCTTCATACTTGGCATAAAATTCCGTTTTCTTCATGTTAAAAAGTATTGAAGTCTCAAGTTACAATCAATACTCATTTTGTAATTTGTTAGAATACAGAATCTGATATGTTTTTATATTTTGGGTATTGCTTTACAAACCTGTTTTTTTAGTCCATTCCCATTATTTGCTTTGTATCTTGGCATATTTTTCCTACTTCCATTTCTAATCAAGAAGATTTTGTTTTTGTGGCCCCCTGTCAACGTAGCCAATTGTCTCTGACTAAATTAGATGTGCCTGTCGTAACTAATCCAGTCGCAGTCAGAAATGGGGAGAGGAAAACAAAAGCTTGACCTCCTCTAAGCCGAAACATCAAACCCACTGCCACGGAGATACTCTGACTCCTAGCACCTGGTGCAGAGTTTCTGCGGCAAATACTCAGTCTTTATAGTAACAGCGTCCTCTTTTTCCCCTGAGGCAGCTGGTGGGTTTGAACCACATACCTTGAGGTTAGCAGTCTGACGCTTAATCCACCGTGCCATCAGGGTTCCTAGACCTTCTCTACTACATGTTGTTTAATTATTTTTTAAATCCTAGTAAACCTTGGTGGCACCATGACTTAAGGGCTTGGCACATTGACTAAGGGATGTGACAATGTTTCCGTTCAGATTTCCATCCACAGCAACTCTGGGACAATTTCACTCCTACAGTGTTGCTGTGAATCAAAACCAACTTGGTGGCAGTGGGTCTTTTATTTTTTTTTGTAGCGTTTAATACATAATTACAGGCTATATTTAGTTAAATGCTAAAAACATTGTAAGATTATAGCAGTGACACTAAAATTGGACTTTCATTTTTCCTTTGATTTGCAGAGTCCAGCCTCTGATGAAGCAGGAGAAAAAGAAGCCAAGTCTGATTAATGTTTATCATGTCTTATCAGTGGGCCCTGTTGTCTCCCTTCTTGTACAATCCAGAGGAATATTTTTATCAACTATTTTGTAAATGCAAGTTTTTTAGTAGCTCTAGAAACATTTTTAAGAAGGAAATCTCAATTCATCCCATTTTTTTTTCTTAGTGTAAATGCTTTTTTTTTTTTAAGATGTGAAATCATTTACTGGTTGTTTATTTTTTAGTACAACCAGAAAATAGTGGGATGTTGAATTGTGGGAAGATTTGACT